CTGACAGCGTCTCCTACGCGGACTGCGTTATCGCCACCAAAGTGCAACAGATGCGAGTGGCTGGCCATTTCTACGGAAACTTTCGCATCCCACCCGATCTGCGCAGTCTGTGGGCCTACATGTCTCGCGTCTACGCCGTGCCGGCATTCAAGGTCAGTTGTCCATCCGACCGGGATATCCTGCTACACCATTTTGAGAGGGTGACCTTCCCGACGCCTGTGGACCGCACCGCAACCCAGAGGCGTATCCTGGCCCTGGAGGAGAATCAACACACTTTCAGTATCCCCGCGGCGTTTCCGAACTCTCCCAGGAGCCATACCGAAGTCAGAACAGCTGGCCAATCAGCGGCCACGACGAAGGTCTTTGATAAGGCCATGGTGCAGGACCTGTCGAAAAAGCAGGTTACCTTTGGACTAATGCCATAGAAAGCTCTAAGGAGAATACCATCCAGCGGGAGGTTTCCTGTATTTGCACATATATAATATACTGTACTGAAGGGCATACGAGCCAAGAAATCAACCGATCTTTTGCGGTTTTCTGTCAACTTTGTTTGCACCAGACCTTTATCAACTGTCAGAAATCGTTGACTTTTCAAAGCTGCCTACAAATGGGGAGTGACTATCTTCTAAACTAATGAACAATATGTTAAAGAAAGTTCACTAGACCCCGCTATCACATTTGAACTATTTGCTGTTCCTACTGGACAGACGTGTATGCATGCTAAATCTGCCATTCCTTTGAAAATTCCTTGTAAAGGCTCAACGCACACTGCTTGTACATCCTCAGTTATATTTATCAAGTGCCTTATGAACGCTGATCCTAAATAACACCACTCCGCAAAACTGAACATTAAGATTAAACTCTGCCAGTTTTAGCTGAGGTAACTGTCTGGTCAACGAAACCTCTATCATTCCTAAAGACTTCGAATTATCTGCAGTAGAATATGGCACAGTGTGGTGGTAGTTTATAATTATGAGAGGATAATTAGGATTATCCAGATACGCTGAATTCGGATCTACATTTAAAACGTGAGATACACTTTGGTAAGAAATACACACAGAGAACTTCATGAACCATTTAAAATTAGAGGATGTTGTTTATTTAAGTGGGTTTGTAAAATCAACGGTGAGAAATAAATCTTGCCAGGTGACAATGCAGTTTTTTGCACAGTCGCCTTTTTTGCAACCTACCCTTTTACATCTAATTGTTGAAAAAGGGCTAAATATCGAAAAGAAAACTTCCATAATTCAGGAAAAGCTAATTATCCCTATGTGTCCTAACGTAAGGACCCCGTACTCCAAAGTATGCAACAATGAAAGGCAATTGTGCCTTCCAGTGGAATTGGTACCACCGTCTAAACGTCCGTATAAGTCTTACATAAACTCGTGGGTAAGAATAACTTGTATGGCCGTCTAAACAAGATATGAGCATAGAAACGGCCGTCTAATTAAAAAAAGTGGTCTTGCACTGAAGTTAGGGAGGGGCAAATTACCGTCAGCTTAAGCCTAACAGTCAACCTTACATTAAACTAAACTGTAACCTTAATCTGTACCCCAATCCTACAGTAAAAGTGACTCTATAGTTAACACGAATTCTGATCTTCATCCTAAACCTCACCTAAATCCTAAACATTATTTCCCAGAACCTGAAGAAAGCCATACGAATTACGGGTGATCAATGTTCCTGCGTCCTAGTTAGGCGGCAATACCATTCATCCTTAGAGTTTATTCATTAAGTTTACGCAAAAAGATCAAGCGTTCTACTGCAAAACCACCAATCGAACTTCAGCGTTAGTCTGTCAAAGGCCAGCAAGTTCTAGCATACGCATCGCGTACCTAGGCTAGGGTGCAAACTTCATAAACACAGCGGTCGTTTTTTCGACCGAGCATGTCGTATAAGGCCAGGACTAGATGACTCCCTCTTTAACAATTCATTCGCCC